TACTACAAACTCAGTATACAGTGATCCTTTCTACACAAACTTGGTATAACTAGTGAATCTTTCTACTCAAGTAAATTGAAGATTGTATACAAATTTACTACAAATGCAGTATACAATGATCTTTTCCAAATTTTTTTAGCTTCCGCGATTTGTTGATTCTCCTTTTGTGATGGTAAATATACTGTCGCCTTTAGAAAGTACTGTGACATTAAAAGCCAACATGGTTGTTAGCATCCCCTCAAGTGATTAATCATCTTCAACATCTAATTGGAGGCCGGAAAGAAGGACTTTTTCTCCACCATAAGGTCCTCAAATCCATTGTTGGTCCACATAGCCAATTTCAACTTAGAAGAATCAATAGAGATACCTTCTACCATTCCAGATTTCATTTCTTCAGGGACATCCACTTGCTGAAAGAGAGTAAAGGAAATAAATAACTATATTTCATTATTGCTATGATTATGTGCAAGAAATATACACTTCTGTATAAGCTTATAGTTTTCCCAATAGGAGTCTATATTAAATATACTGTCAAATTATTAAGCGATGGACAGCTAGCAAAATGATAATATCTTGACCATGGTCATACAGAGATTGAATCATAAAATTAAATTTGTGTGATAAATCTGTGCAGTATGATAATTTATTTTGACGTTTGTATTTCAAAAATCATTTTGACTTGAAAAGTAATGTGTAATTTAATTAATTACATTGGACTGTCATGTAATGGTTATTTAATTATTTTGAAAATACCTGTAATGGCAATGCCATTTTCATAATGTAATTGTAATTTAATTAATTACATCATCATGTAATTGAACCCATGCCTGTTACAAACAGTAGCTGTCCTAACTGATCCTAAAATTAACTTTGGCTAAGTCTATCACAAAATTAACTTTGGCTATGACTATTACAAATGCCACATTTAGCTACAGTAGAGGTATTTCAAAAATGTATGTCATTGTAGCTGAAAGGACATAATTAATGATTACTTAACCAGAACTACAGTTCTGAACAAACCACTACAAAGCCTGGTTAACTGTACTAAGAGAATGTCCTCTCAATTAATCAATTTCATTGATTATCGACATCTTATTGTTGTACTTACGGTCACCTGAGTTTCTTATAAGTTTCAATTTGACTTTTAATAAGGCCCAAAGTGATAATACTGCAATGTCTTAATAAGCTCTCGAGGGGTATTGGTTAGACTATTTATCCCATTTCATTCCATTCACCATGGAAACAAAACTCTAAAACGCTTAAAAACATTCGACAATTTATGACAAATATTGAGCCTAGGGCTGTGTAAAATTGATGAATCAAGTGTTAAAATGAAAGTGGAAGCAGTTGACATAATACTGAAATTTCTGAGATAAACAAATACAGTACATATATCAAAAGTTCAGGCATAATAAGAATTGTACCAATTACACTTAACACATTCACACTGGGACCAAACACTTCACATATTCACACTGGGACCTAATACTTTGCTAGGTTTACCCTCATCTTTATTAAAACACTTTCCGGGATTCAGATGTCAATTGACATCTTCATTATTCCCAATCTTTATATTGCAATCGTTCACATGCATCACTCTTCAACAGAATCAACGAGACATCATGTCAGAAAGACAAAAACTAAATTTAAACTAAAACTATAACTTCACTTGTAAACCTTACAATTAGCATAGCTGTAAGATTTCATTCCCAGAAATTTGAAAGAGCTATATCTACAATAGCACGGACAGTGAGCGATATTTTAAAGTAAAATCGATATATTACACAGATAGATTCCTAGATCTATTCACGGTAGCGTAAGTAGTACAGTACAATATTACGGATAAGATTTTTTTCTGTTTAATTTCCGATCTGTTGGGCCACTGACAGAAGTGACGGCGATGAGACCATTATGAAACGATCATTCAAAAATAAATTCATTTCAAAACACTGAAATACTTTACGGAAGCAACAAAAATGTGCTAGATGCTTACATAATATTTTTCAAATGCATACTGCTTCAAAGGAAAAGTCTTGAAAATATTTTGAAAAAAGTGCCATGGCGGCAGTGCCCAGCTTGCGCGTCGCCGTCGAGCCTAAATTCAATACATGCGATAGCTCATTTCAAGTGAATTTTTGCAAAAAATGCAATTGGTAGTTCAGTATAAGTATTGACTTTAGATTAAGCTTATATATATATAATGATACTTACCTACATAAAATACCCGCCATCTTCTTTCTGCCGCCGTCTTCTTTCAGGGTCCAGCAGCAAAGAGCACCCCGGCTGTTTCCGTCAAAATTTTATGCTACTCTAAATCATTCTTATTTTAGTTTCATTCTTATTTTCAACTACACATTTCAGTATTATCAAAAGTTTTTAACAGTATTAAACGGGATGAAAATTTTCGAAAAAGAAAAAAAAAGAAAGATATATGACACCCACAATGCATCGCGCGGAAAAGAAAGTTAAGCCGCCATATTGGCATAGCCTCGCAAAATTTACCACCATAAAACGTGAGTCTGTGATTGTATTTACAAATTTCGATGGCTAATTATCATTAATACACAACACAAAACGTTTTCTTGATGTACAAGTAATGAAGAAAATGTCGATAAGGTTGTTTCATTTAATGACTAGCATCAGCAACTTGTAGGGGCGATAATCCAATGATTACGGTAATGTCCGGCAGATGGAGTAGGAGTAAACTTTCGATTTGTGAACCAATGAAAACGAAGTACTGATACTCGGGGCCAGGGGCGACAGCAACATGCTCTTAGCATAATTATACACAATACACGCTATCAGCTGATATTTTGCTGCACAATTCTTTCATTCAATAATGTGGAGGCACTATCATATCATTAAGTTAAGAAATGATTGCTAATTGTAAGAGTTGCGTTTTTATCAAAATTTTCCCTTAAAAGCCTTGCCCCAAAATCAATTATTTAAAACAGGATTGCCACCTCCAATTCATTTTCACGACCTATGTCGGGCAACCTTTCATTTGATTCTAGTTAAATTTGCTTCACAATTTCAATTGAATAGTTACTCCAGATAGGAAAACAATAAAAAAAACAAGAGGCCCATGGGCCTTAACGGTCATCTGACAAAAAGCAAGCCAAACCTAGAAAGTGGGTTGAGGTCATTCATTTGAACAAACTTGGTAGCCTCTCCTCCAAGCATCTTACAGGCCCAATATCAGCACTCATGGACTTTTGCTTGTTGAGAAGAATGTATATTTTAACATATTTGACCCCTGTGACCTTGAAAGTGGGTTGAGGTCATTCATTTGAATAAACTTGGTAGCCTTTCCTCCCAGCATGCTACAGACCCAATATCGGCACTCATAGACTTTTGCTTATTGAGATGAAGTCCTTCGTATATTTTAACATATTTGACCCCTGTGACCTTGAAAGTGGGCCAAGGTCATTCATTTGAACAAACTTTGTAGGGCTCCATGCCAGCATGCTCTGGGCCAAGTATTAGCCCCCTAGGCCTTCTAGTATTTGAGAAGAAGTTATTTAAAGATTTTGACATATTTGACCCCTGTGACCTTGAAAGTTGTTCAAGGTCATTCATTTAAACAAACTTGATAGCCCTTCATCCCAGCATGCCACAGGCACAATATCAGCAATCTGAGCCTTTTGGTTATTGAGAAGAAGTTGTTTAAAGATTTTAACATATTTGACCCCTGTGACCTTTAAAGTGGGTCAAGGTCATTCATTTGAACAAACTTGGTAGTCCTTCATCCCAGCATGCTACAGGCCTTATTTTAGTTGCCTGGGCCTTTTGATTACTGAGAAGAAGTCCTTTGAAGATTTAAAGACATTTGACCCCTGTGACCTTGAATGAAGGTCAAGGTCATTCATTTGAACAAACTTGGTAGGGTTTCATCAAAGCAAGCTACAGGCTAAATATTAGTTGCCTGGGCCCTCCAGTTATTGAGAAGAAGTCGTTTGAAGATTTTAAGACATTTGACCGCTGTGACCTTGAATGAAGATCAAGGTCATTCTTTTTAACAAACTTGGTAGGGCTTCATCAAAGCAAGCTACAGGCTAAATATTAGTTGCCTGGGCCCTCCAGTTATTGAGAAGTCGTTTGAAGATTTTAAGACATTTGACCCCTGTGACCTTGAATGAAGGTCAAGGTCATTCTTTTTAACAAACTTGGTAGGGCTTCATCAAAGCAAGCTACAGGCTAAATATTAGTTGCCTGGGCCCTCCAGTTATTGAGAAGAAGTCGTTTGAAGATTTTAAGACATTTGACCCCTGTGACCTTGAATGAAGGTCAAGGTCATTCTTTTTAACAAACTTGGTAGGGCTTCATCAAAGCAAGCTACAGGCCAAATATTAGTTGCCTGGGCCTTCCAATTATTGAGAAGAAGTCGTTTGAATGAAAAGTTTACGGACGGCGCATGACGGCGGACGAAGCATGATGACTATAGGTCATCGGACCCTTCGGATCAGATGACCTAAAAACTCAACCTCACATATTTATACATCATGCTTTTGACAAGTTCCTGGATAAATGCTAGATGCCAACATACTTCTTGAACCCTTACTGCACATCTGTATATGACAATGCATCAAGTGAAATATCCTATTGTTTGACAATCAGCATCTAGCTATGATTAATGCAAATGAAAGTGCCGACAGAAGGCCTATAATTACTTCAGGTAAGGCTGTTGATGCACAAGAAAGCTCTTAAAAAAGAGGTTTGAAGGGCCTGCAATATCCACACAATGTGGAAATCACGTATTCTACATTAGGTGTTATGAAGAATTCATAATTTAAAGGATCAGCAAACTAGAAGAAATGGGTCGGTTTTTCATTTTCCAACTTTAACTCCATGCTGGAAAATTCCCAGCCAAATATGATCCTTGGCATTATGCTATGTTATTAGCAATATTTGAAGGTTTTAAAGTAATCGTTGTGTTTTCTTTTTCTCAAAACTTTTAATCAAGCTTTCTAATATCAGGATGCATGTATAAACAAGAAACATTTTTAGTTTTTCTTAATTTTTTTATTCACGTCAAATGAAGAGACCTTACTGGCCAGTCTATGAAAATGATCATAATGAGAATAAATAACCACCCCCCAACCCTCTCTTTCGACGATCTATTTAAAGGAAATCTTAAGTCCTTTTGCCTTAAACACTTCTGTCATCAAGTCCTTCATGTATTTTATTTCCCGAGAAATGCTGTCAACTTGGTCATGCAGTTTTTTGTTGGTTTCCTGTAAAAGTTGTTCATCTGTTTTGATAACATTTTTTTCACCACGCTTTTTCTCACGATATCGAATAGCAGCATTTCTGTTCTGAATTTTCTTGCGCTCTTTTTTAGATAGTCCTTCAGTGGGAATTTTATATGGTTCTGCCCTAATTCTTGACTTTGTTGTCTTCTTTGCCTTGCTGCTACTTGACTTAGACTTAGGATGATTTATTTCATCATCACTGCAACCAGGTATATAATCTGGATCATCGACCGGTTCTGGACTAGATGGTTCAGAACCAGACAAAAAGTTTTCAACCTCATCAACTGAGAGCGGTGAAGTTATGAACTGTTCAATTATTGAATCAACAGCTTCAACCGAGGAGGTCTCTGGTTGCACATGGTCAACTTGCACATTCTCATTTTGATCCAGTAATGACAAAATGCCTTCTGTAATATCACAGTCTTTGACTTCAGTGACACATTCTAACAAGTCAATATCAGCAGCTGGTTTTTGTTCAGATTCAACGACTGGAGTCAGAAGTGGTATTGGCTGAACCAGCAACTCATGCAGGATGCCAGAGTTTTTTGGTTTCGGAGATGGTGGACTTTCCACAGCAACTGCTTCTGCAGTTACTGCATCAAGGTCTGGCAAGCCAAATGTCTGCTCCAAATCGAAGGCAGAATTCTCCATCCATTCTACACCAAGGGGATCTGAAATACAATAAGCACAAAATCAAAACGTGAACAGCTACAATTACGATTTAAATTACACTGGTAATGCATGCAATATGCCAGAATATTAGGATTTTGTGAGCAGGTGATGGTTTTATTGACAATGAGATTTTTCAAATACACACCTTCTGGGCTTTGGGCCAAGAACTCTTCCAGCACATCAGAAGCTGGTTGGAGACCCTTGGTGGGGCTCTGGGTGTCACCTGGGAACAACGTTCCCAACCCAAATAGATCGTCATCGCCCAAACTCTGAGGGAACGACCCAGACAGGTTGTCCATCATAAATTCGGTGCGAAGCAATTCCACGTTGTACAACGCCATATCTGTCATTGTTAATGTCTTCCAAGGAAATTGAAGAAGGAATATGTAATGGGATGTTTTCTATAGGTGCGAGGAATCCGGTGGCTATTGCCAGGGCAAGCAGTGAAGAAACGTTGTGGGACCTGCAAAAGTACAGCATTTATTGTAAAACCCAAATAACCAATTTTATTGTACACTTTGACAGTTCGACATGCAATTCAACAAGAATACATTCTGTAAATCTGCTCACTGGTTTAACAACCCCCTCCCCCAATTAATTCTTTTTCTCTACTTCCACTTCCGCCCACCGTCCACACGCGGAAAAGATTCGTGTAGATTCAAGGTTGGTGTCGAAACAACTATCAAAATGAATAGCTCAGAAATCCTATATACACGTTAACTAAGTTGTGAACGGAACTGAAAAAAATTATTTGGAGTAATGATCAGTTTTCATTAAACGAAATTTCACAAAGTAGATAAATTAAGCGAACTAACATGCACCAAAATGGCGCCATATGTTACTATCATATTTTCCTCGCGGAATTCCAATTATATCAATATTGATGTGAAATACTTACGCCATGATGATTATAAACTTGGTGCAAAGCAAACGCTTTGGCACGTGGGGGTTGCACTCCAATACTAGGCAGCCATTTTGATAACTTTCTCGCCAGAAAATTCTGGTTAGGAATACTCGTGTTACTTTGTGAGACGTATCATTCAGAATGGCGATCCGAGGCAGGTACACCAGAGTATCGACAACGGTGAAGGTGATATTAATCCGCGATTTTGCGTAACTACTTATTCCGGCGAAAATTTAGGCTGACTCTCACTGTAATTTTAGCAAAAGATCACAGTGTTTGATAATTTATAATTATTATTGAAATATGTTTTGAAAAATCATACAATATGTACAATATAATTTGAAACTACATTAATCCGCGGAAGGCTACATCGAAAAAAGTACTGGATTGCATCAGAAAATCTCTGGCAATATGCCAACCAGAGCGAGTTCCGATTGGTGGAAATTTACACACCTACATTTATTAATAGCACTGCTACGTCATCGTTATGGACACCCTTTCGAGCCCAGACTTGATGATAAGAAACAGTGGTTATATCACCAGTGTTATAAAACATAATCATATGAATGAAAAATTACGTGCTTTCATATATGTGACCTGTACAATGTCAGGGGATTTCACAATAAGTATGAATGTAAGTCTGTGGATTCATAGATTTATTTGTTTTGCTCGGCTTTAGCAACAAAGACATGCTTCCATACTTCTCTGACGTCATAGCAAGCTGGATCTTGGGTTAAATTCTGGTACGATGGCCACGTGCCTCAATGATCTATTTATAACTATGTAATTTCCATGACAATTTTTGGACTACAAAATGTTTAGTACAATTATGTGTAGTGCATCAAGGATGAAACATTAAAGTAGATAGTAGTCTAACCAGAGACGTATATATACATCTCTGGTCTAACACACCATGGACACGCGCAATGGTTAATGGTTAACCAAAGTACATAACAATAATGAACACGTAGCTTAGGTCGATTAGCTGACATCTTTCAATAAATGGGTGCTTAACTGTTTTTTTTTTTTATTTTCTGGACCATTCCCAAAATCTCTGATTACTTTTGAGAATGATATACATCTAGTACTTCGAAAAAATAGCAATTATGAATTCAATGAAAATTCAGGATAGCCATTAGTCATTTTCAGATCAGTCTTGAAATCAAAGCAAATGGGAATAAGTGTGGTCACAAGAAACCTATAATACATGTAAAAATTAACTCATTCACAACAGTCTCTTTTAAGTCAGCTGCCAAGCTCAATCTTTTTCTATAAATCCAATGATAAGCATATTTTCTCTATTGTGAGGTTTCTATTTTTGGATAGCAACATTCCTGCATCCCAACCTATGATGTTTACATGTTGCAGTTGTTTTGATACTTGAAAGCCTGCACCAATTATCACAATGTGTGGTGCAAGAAAAAACTGAAAGCACAAGGTTTCAGAAGATGCAGGTCAATGAAAAATTATGGAGATGTTTTGTTGTCATCCATGATCTCATTGAGATTTCTTTAAGTGATGCGATATGAAGCTGAACACTAGTTAGTTAAAAACAAATATCCATTTCATGACCTTGACCTTTTGATCTGAAAAGCATTAGAAAAACAACAAATACTGAGAGCGTTTTCCAGTTTTTATTTTGTTAAAATAAAATAACTTATAATCACATTGATAATGTAGAATACATGATTACATTTCATGGTGTTTTTTTATCGTATTGTTTAGACCAAGATACATATAAGTAAAGAGGTGTACAACAATACAGGTAAGGCAGCACCATCTAATCATCGAATCAAATCATTTCAATTCTCTAGTACATCGTATAGCTGTAGCTTTGGATAGAATCACATCCGCCAACTGTAAGTTTTAAGCAGAATATAGCTCATCAGAATAGTGGGTTAAAATCAAGCAAAAAAAGTCAAAATAGAACCATTATCATACATGACTTTGTATCAGTTTCAAGAAAAGACAATTCTTCTTCCAAAAGGATCACTAGATCAACTTGCAGGTTAGCCACACAATAAACAAGGAATTTTCTACACTGTTCAGGGTTAGGTAGAGAAATCGGAACAAATGCATACTATCAATAAAGGTGAAAGAAATACACACTTTAAAGTTAAAAAAAAAAACATAAACTTTTCAATTCAAAACAATAATCAAGTCTTTTACACATTTTCAAACCTTCAATATGGCATAGCATTTACAAAGGTAAAATATGAGATTATAAACAACAACAGGCAAGAATATGATTCAGATTTGAAAAAAGTTTAGTACCGCTCTAATGGTATTGTAAATATCATATTTATGAAATGCTCCGATTCCTGGTCACATACCAACAATAAAATGTGGTACAGTCATATAAATGCATTACATGTAGAATACATCATAACCACTTAAAGTTTGACATACAAACAAAACTGGAGGTATGGGAAACTAAAAGCACAAAAAATCTTCAGCAGATATTTGATAAATTCATCAGATGAAGTCCTGTATGATGTTGTTATAGTTTATAGAAAATTTTCTTTGATGTTCAAACTCAATTGATCACACAATGAAAATGATTGGTCTATTGGACTGCTTCACATATAACGATACAATATTGTTTTTAACATCATATAATACACAGTTACCTAGTTAACATTCTTGTATAGTGAAACACCTTGTCATTACTGTCACTGTGATCTTATTTAGTGGTAAACTACCTGATAACTGGAATATGTAACAAAAGGAATGTTTCTGGGTCTTACTGAAGGATGAAAAGTTTCTCATCGAAGCTCTGAAAAATTATCCGACATCTGACACTCCTGTCAATGTTTAAAATCTGCAATTCTTGTATTCTTATTTCTAGTAAATGTTATGTAATAGTGATAGCGAACGTAAAACAAGAAATTTTAACACTGTTTTAAAGTTTCAAATCTACAAACAAGGGGTACATGTAACAATTAAGTATGTTGTTGTTTCGACCTTCACACAAATCACCTATTAATACATGTACAGGTTCTAATACAGGAAAAAACTCACATACAACTTTTTTGTAGAAAAAGTTAAATCTTGAGTCCTATGCAATAAAACCCTCTGCAAGTGATTTCCACTGAATAGGAGAGCTTTCTGTTCTAAGCCTCCATATCATTGACAAACAAGAAACAAAAAACATCTGCTTTTCCGCGAACTTAAGAAACATCATAAAAAGTATAATTCATACTACAGTCCTTTCAACAAGAAATGTTAAACTTCCACCATATATAGTAATATTCATTATTCATTAATGATTGCATTAATTAAAACGTCCACAAAAGTCATTGTTAAGATGTTCATTATTTTGCATGGAAAACAAAATTTTGATAGCAATTATTGCCGGTAGCTGTCAATATATCCTGTCTATAAAGAAACAGTGGCATTCTTCCTTCTTGAGTTCTTTGTGTTAATATGAAGTAAGTGCAATGGCCGTCATTTAATCCAGGTTTAAAACAGCTCGGATGCTGCAATGCCAAGAAGAGCATTATTAATTATCAATATTTATTGATTATAGTTAGGAAATGAAAGTAAGTGTAATATGATGGGGAGGAAGGTGGGTTAGTGGGTTGATGGGCCGCTTCATTGCACTGACACCTCTTACTACCGATGAAGGGAAGGTGTGAACGACACACTTACTATAGTATTGAACAAAGTATTGATACTATTGTATTGAAGTATTCAAATAATCGAGTCAAGTATACAACGACCTCTGTGATTGGTCGGGGGCGGAGTTTAGACAACCTGAATAGTTGATCTGACACCCAATTTGTTCCGGTAGGCGGAGTTAATGTACACTATCAGTTACATAACAAGTACTAAGTAATCGCTGGAAAAATGTCCGACGACGGCAACAGTACGCAAAATTTTCTTCGACGAAATTATGTCCGATACGAACGATATGGGGAATCCTGTTTTTGTACAAGGCGATGTGGTTGTGATGGATAATTGTGGATTCCATCACCATAGACAGGGAGAGCGCATTTTAAGAAATATGCTGAAAGAATATGGCGTGTCCCTGGTTTTTCAGCCGCCTTATTCCCCGGAATACAACGTAACTGAATATGTATTCAATGTCATGAGACAGAGGCTTCGGGCAAATATACCCGACTTGTGTCAGAATTTCTGGAACTTGCAGTAGTAAATGCTCTAGATATTCCGCCCAACCAACTTCAAAGTTTTTTCACATGTTGCGGATATGTATAATTTTCGATGGAAAGATAAAAAATAAAATAAAAAATATATGGGACCACAGAATTCCTTTATTTTTTAATGCAGTATGAATTATCGGCATATATCAGGAGGTCCCAGGTAATTCGTAATTCTTTGTTACATATAATAGAGCTTGGGCTTAAACCGAAATATTTTGAGCCAACCCTCCCCCCCCCCCCCCCCCCCCCCCCCCTTTCAAAAAAAAAATAAATAAATAAAACTAGTACAGAATGACTATGTGACTACATTCACTGTTAAGATGTTATGAATTCTCCGGTCCCAGTGATCTAACCTGTTGATATATATTTTGTACGTAAATTAGTTTAGTACTGAGTAACTTTCGTTTTCTCGTTGTACCATCGATGGAAAAGCAAAGTATCATTGGGTGTAGAACGAAACAAATGGGACAACCCAATTAGGTCTGATCTGAAGCCACCTGTGACTTGGACTCTTCCAATTAACCTCTCGCGACAGTCGAGTGTTTGTAAAATGCCGATGTCTGCACAGTATTTTTTCACCTGGCTCCACCCACAATCGATCTAGACTTGGCTCTGCCAATCAGAGAGCTTGTTGCATAAATTTAAGGAATTCGATTGGTGAAGTACTTCAATACAATACTATCAATACTTTGTTCAGTACTACAGTACTTGAAACGTTCACACCTTCCCTTCATCGGTAGTAACTAGTAAGGTAATAACTCCAATTTTCACTTACTAAAATAAGGAAAATCATGTAGAGATATTGTTTCGTACACCAGCTAATGGAAAACAGAATATACAAAATCTCTTCTAGCACACCAGCTAATGGAAAACAGAATATACAAAATCTCTTCTAGCACACCAGCTAATGGAAAACAGAATATACGAAATCTCTTCTAGCACACCAGCTAATGGAAAACAGAATATACAAAATCTCTTCTAGCACACCAGCTAATGGAAAACAGAATATACAAAATCTCTTCTAGCACACCAGCTAATGGAAAACAGAATATACGATATCTCTTCTAGCACACCAGCTAATGGAAAACAGAATATACGAAATCTCATCTAGCACACCAGCCAATGGGAAAGATAATATACCAAATCTCATCTAGCACACCAGCTAATGGGAAAGATAATATACCAAATCTCATCTAGCACACCAGCCAATGGGAAAGATAATATACCAAATCTCATCTAGCACACCAGCTAATGGGGAAGTACACCAGCTAAAGGGGAAGATAATATACCAAATCTCATCTAGCACACCAGCTAATGGGGAAGATAATATACCAAATCTCAACTAGCACACCAGCTAATGGGGAAGATAATATACCAAATCTCATCTAGCACACCAGCCAATGGGGAAGATAATATACCAAATCTCATCTAGCACACCAGCCAATGGGGAAGATAATATACCAAATCTCATCTAGCACACCAGCCAATGGGGAAGATAATATACCAAATCTCATCTAGCACACCAGCCAATGGGGAAGATAATATACCAAATCTCATCTAGCACACCAGCCAATGGGGAAGATAATATACCAAATCTCATCTAGCACACCAGCCAATGGGAAAGATAATATACCAAATCTCATCTAGCACACCAGCTAATGGGGAAGATAATATACCAAATCTCATCTAGTACACCAGCTAATGGGGAAGATAATATACCAAATCTCATCTCGCACACCAGCTAATGGGAAAGATAATATACCAAATCTCATCTAGCACACCAGCCTCTGGAGAAGATAATATACCAAATCTCATCTAGCACACCAGCCAATGAGAAAGATAATATAGCAAATCTCATCAAGCACACCAGCTAATGGGGAAGGGTATACGTGAAATATTGTTTACCACACCAGCCAACGAGGAAGAAAATATACCAACCATTAGTGAAATATTGTTTATCATACAGGCCAATGGGGAAGTGCATACAGGAAATAACATCTAGTACATTAAGCAAAGGGGAACAGCATCAATGAAAATACATGGAATCAAGAATTTAATGATGTTTTAGAAATAGAAATAGATTATCCTCAAACTGAAATAAGTCATGATTTCTACTTCCCATGGGTAGTTCATGTTCAAAGTTTTTAATCTAACAAGTTAAGAGACAGGACATCCTACCTTTCACCTTTGTGCATAAGGTCAAATGAGGAATTGACTTCTGACAGTGGAAGGTTGTGACTGATAAACTCATCCACCATCATCTGTTTGTTCATGTATTCCTCAACCAATTTAGGAACACTGTCTCTGCTCTTCCACCCTAGATGCAGATAGAGAAACATAATGATCACAACATATATTAATATCCACAGCCAAATCAATAAACATAGTTTTCACTATTGTAGAAGAGGATTTAAACAGGATTCCAAATCCCCTTTTCCTGAGTTTATCTTTTGTCAATTAAAAAAATCATTTAAGCATACAATCAGAAAGAGTTTCCAATGAAATATTAAAATTCAAATGAGATAAAGCACATAGAAGGTAATGTTGTTTTTGGAGTAATGAATTCAATCAGTGAACTTTAGAAATTTTAATGAGGGAGATTAAATTCACTCAAAGCATAAATCTCCCTTTCACAAAATAAGAAGAGAAAGACAAGATGATGATCAATTTCTGAAATTGAAATTGGTAACAAAATTTGAGTCTCCTATTTTTTTTACATTCCACCAAGTCTATGTACTACCAGGCATTACACAGCCTGGCCAGCAGTTAAAGGGAGATAATCCTAACCTCCAAATGCTGATCCTTTCCACACACGTCCAGTGACTAGTTGAAATGGTCGTGTAGAGATTTCCTGACCTGCTGCTGCCACACCAATGATCGTGGACACACCCCATCCCTTATGACATGCCTCAAGCGCTGCCCTCTATATGTTTGAATATGACAGAGGCACAAAATTAAGAAATTTTCAATGATATTTATTTCTCTGTATCCTAATATGCCTCAAAAGATCTATCCTTTTTAACTTCTTGTTGATGTGATTTTAAAAATAGGAAATATTGAATTATCTTCATCATCAGTAACAACAATGCAAAGACATTTGAAAAGCCATTACACCAGTAAAAACTTCTTTCAAACAATTTTTGTTTTCCCTTTGCAAAATTTAAGAGTTATAAAACACCTTATTCCTTGATTTTAATGTTTTATTTTTCTAAGTACTCTATCTCACCATGGTTGCAATATTGCCGATACACTCAAAGGTATAATCGCATCCTCCGTCAGTCATTTCTGACAACACCTGCTGAATTGGTTTTGAGTGGTCCTTTGGATTCACACCTTCAGTCATTCCAAACTGTTTGCCTACAATGAAATATTGATGAAGGCATACGTTTATCAATTCTTATACCTATAAACAGCAACAATTTTCCAGCAGCATAATTGTTTCCTTAATTATAAAGAATGGGTGTCACAGTGGTAATACACTCACTTTTCACCAAGATGACTGAGCTCTGATTCCCCGATCAGACGTGTAAAGGTCTGGGATTACCACCCATAGTTAAACTTTTCACACACTTTGTGTTTAAAAAAAGATTATGGCTTGCTTCAAAATTGTTGTAAAATAAAAGTTTTTCTTTTTTTACAACCCCAGACTCCTATTGAATTATCCTCCATCAATGGCTTCTAATTCAAATAAAAAAAACAATTCAGGTGTTTAGAATGAAGGAAACACTATGAACATTTAAAAGAATAAGGAAAACATATAATAAAATAATAAAGTAGACAGTTTACTGAGATAGTTTTAGTGTCTAACTAAAAATAATGATTTGATTGTCCAACCATCCTGAAGATTGCAGGTGCTGTGTAGATAAAGTCTTATTTGATCTGAAAGCAAGGCAGAGCTAAACAAAATACATGTGCGATACCAAAATGACATTCCTTTTTGCATTAAATTGCTTAAAAGTTTGGAAATGTTACAAACAGTAAGTTGACAAAGTGAACTAAGAAGGCTAAGCACATGTCAATAAAGCTAAGGTTCTTTCAATTTTAAATAGATTTGTAGATATCAAAATTTTGACCGGTGTCTATATGTTTCATTTAAATATGTAAATTCTTGCAGAATTAAAAAATTCATAGGTTTGCATAAAATTGTATTTACCTAGCTCAAACTTTGCAGGATTGATGTCGATACCAATAATACGAGAAGCTCCAGCCTTTCTACAACCCATCATGACAGCTAATCCAACAGCTCCTAACCCCCACACAGCACATGTAGAACCTGGCTCCACCTTCATTAAAGGGAGGTTACATATAGTATATAACATAATGAACTTTAAAGAAAAAAGACTTACAAGGTTCCAACAAATTTATCATAATGTTTTACAGTTTGTTTTGTTTTTTTTTAAACACAATTTTAATTGTAATATTTTGTATAATATGATGGATTTTTCACCCTCTTACTTTTATACTTGTAATAAAATCAACATTCGATGGCTATGAACCTAAACTTTTAAGGAACTATGTAGTGATCACATACCCCAGCCGTATTGAGAGCTGCTCCATACCCAGTGGAGATACCACAGCCAAGCAAGCAGACTTTATCCAGTGGTGCTTCAGGAACAACCTGGTAAAACATTTCAAACCAATCAAGATATTCTCCTTAATTTGCAAATTCAGTAAAAAAAGCAAATGGTAGATAAGGAAATAACCTACTTATTTTAAATCAGACAAAAGCAAACAATACCTTAGTATGGTTAGTAACATCGAACAATCCTTAATTAATTCATAAAACGATTTGCTTTACTTTGATAGATTACCAGAGTTAAAAATACTCAGGGCTCTCGATCTATCAGATTTGGGGCCGAAAATTCCCAATGCAAAATAGTGCCTTTTTCCAAATTTAGACCCCAAGTTTTCCCAATTCTTAGGAAAACGCCATTATTTTTCCTTATTCTAAGGGCCCCGGGCCCCAGTCCCAAAATGGGGTGTGAGAGCCCTGATATTTCTTCTAATTTTGCAGAAGGAAATAGACAGAGCAAATGTTCATATTAGTTTTGAGTGAACATTTGTGAAAAAATTGAAATTTTATCGTTTTATCTTTTCTACAAAAAGTACCTTGGAGACAGAGATCTCGGCTACTACTGTGTACTGACTGAAGGAACTACATCCCATGAAGTGGAACAGTGTCTTTCCTTTACATGTGAAGCGTGATGTTCCGTCTGGCATCAAACCTGCACCTTGTGTAGACCTATCAATAGATTAAGGAATAGATGCCAAACCAACACGTTATGATCAATTCTAAATAAAACAGTGTACACATTGTAAACAGTGATACAACAGGTTAGTTGGAGGTCTAATTCTTGCTAGTTTTTTGCCAAACATAAAAATATGTTTAAAAAAAGACAAAGACTGACTGACATAGTGAATCTGACAACTTTACATTGCACACATACATGAAAGTTACTGTCATCAAAGTGTCTATTACAATGCAATTTAAAGTGATATTCAACAAAATGAAAAATTCAAAGGAACATTTATAGTGTGGTATATGCAACCTGTACCCTGGATAGTATCATAACTGGAAACAGTTTACCTACCAAGGGAACGGGTTAATTTTATATTCGTTAGTAAAGATGTGGTGTACATTGTTTATGTGACTGTTTGTTTTTTACCTTTGCATTGAATAACAGCATATATAGTATGTGTTCATTTTGTACACATACTAGCTGAGCCCTGAGGTAGGAATGTATATAAAACCATACAATAATTTTGAGCAAGCTTACCTGATCTTGCCACACAAGTTTGTCTTTTTACTTTTGCAGAATTTACAATCGTAGCATTGGGGTATGTACAGTGGAATAACATGATCCCCTAAAAAATAAACAAATCGCAAATATAAAAAACTTCATTTTCCATGTCTGTCCCTGATAATGAACTGTAATTTATATTCAAAACAAAGATTTCCATTTGACTTCAATGTGATGTTTTAAACTTAAACTCCCCAACTCCATGCCATTGCAGTCTATGATTATGAATATTGGAATCTCCCTTGGGGATGTAATGACACAAGGCTATGTCCCCAAAACCATGATACAATGCTTCTTTTCCATGTTTCAGTTCAGTCAAGTTTTTAGTATTACTAAACTTTCCCAGTAATTTTGCATATGCATGCAATATAAAACAAATTTTGACTGATTCCTATTATAAAGTTGTCGGATAGTTATTGCCATAGCGAATTTTCACATAAACAAACATAAACAACATAGCAGAGTTGAAATGAAGGGAACACATCTAACATAGCAAAGTACTTGAAGAATAAGCATGTTTCGTATGGGAATGCTGTGATGGAAGACACATGACAGGGCAATTAAACTACACTGTACTTATTTAGTACTAATATACAGTCTGAAGTCTGAAAGTCTGTCTAATTAAAATTTTTACTTCACTTGTCCACATTCTGTATCATATTAAAATGAACTAGTATCACAGATGGATATCACAAAATGTATCATATCATGGCAGAGGTGTATTGTTACAGCCCTAATTTTGTTAACTTTATGTGAAACACCCATGTGGGATAACTCTGGAAAAATCCATCCTAGATGAATGTTCTCAATGGTATAATGACATCACAATCACAATAGAAACCTTATCAAAATATTGCTTGCCTGTTCATGACAATCTTGCCATTGGTAACACACACTCATGACAAAATAAAACTGCCATACAAGTGTGTTGTAAAGATATGATTTAAGATACAAGCTTGTATATGAAAAGTAGATTGTACATGATCCATTCCTTCAAAATACAATCTTGGTTCATGTGTACATTACCTACATATTTTGCTACATGCACTTATCATATTGTGTTTGCAACGACAAAAATTAGGAGAAATATCATCAGTCCTACTGTGGTATAGATACTCTACACTCGGGGATTGACTCTTCAAGTATTCAAATTATATGAATTGCCCACCTGCTTGTACACTGGTGACACCCTCGCCAACGCTCTCTACAATACCCGCACCCTCATGGCCAAGGACAACGGGAAATATACCCTCAGGATCAAAGCCATCAAGGACATAAGCATCAGTGTGACAAACTCCGGTGTGTAAGACCTAAAGCAAATTAAAAGCAGATGTTTTTATTCATCAATAAAAATTCAAATAAATGCAGAATTTGAAACGTGTTATATTACCATTCAATGTCTCATTCATTAACTGTTACTTGTTCCTGAAAGAGTGAAATCCTGAAAATGTATGTGTTGGATCTGACTCATAAGTGTTTTGTAATGAAGGTTATCTTCATGAATACCAGCAGTTTCATGGAAATCTATGCGAGAACTGGTACCTGTTTTCGACTCTCAACCTTAATATTTGTACATGACCTTGTACATGTTATGACCCTGAAACAGTCTTTGACAAAGAATTTAAAACTGGGATAATATGGCTTTTACAAGCACCATATCCAATGATTATGTAATCTTTCACTAAATAGTCATGGCCTTAAAACTGCTATTAAAATTGATATAGAACACTTATACAGGAACTGTCAGTTCTGTAACTTCATACTTGAGGATATTCTTTAGATGTATAGATGTATCTCATGTAATACAACCAATGTTGAAAATCTGAACAACTGGAGGACAAATACAGCAGGTTACAACTAAATTCAAAACACCTTTATGTATAGACAGTGTAACAGCTGATACTAAACAAGTCTTGGCTGCTCATACCCAGACTCCTTATATTAAGCTTTTAAGTGGATTGCGCAAAGTGCCTTACATAGACTTTGGATAAACTGTTTCATAATATTATGATTTTTTTTAGAGTTGATGCATGCTATTCAAATAGATATTTAGAGAAAAAAAAGTCACTATCAAGCTTATCATTCATTCTTATCATTTATCCTTACATTATTCATCTTTCCTTTAACATTTACGTTCGAGTCAAATGGTAAGATACACAGCAATATCACATGCTTGGATTAACAGCTGAATTTGGAGGATGTTCATCCGCATCTGCTACATATTTCATAATCTAACAATATGGATTGAATTTACTCCGATCATGACATACATGTACATGTATATAGAAGTATAAATTGTGGCCCAATCACAGTTTGAAATATGTACAACACATCTATATCAGACAGTATTCTTTTATGTTCATCACAACTTTGCATATTTCTGTATCAAAACTCACACATAAATATTGAGTGATAAATTAGCATAAGCAATGGTATTGGCAACGAATTGACACTTTAGTCATGGTGTTCCCGACCATGAGACTGGGCTCTGTGCTGATTAACATGAATCCACAGGTTTAACCTGCTGCAGTTCTACAGTTTGCTGGTCCTATTCTACCGAGACATAAGGTAGCTGTCTTCACATAATACACATATTTTTCTAAAGGCAGTTGAGAGTTCAACTATAAATAATTAAAAGTACGGTATATTTTTTTCTCATTCAATGTCTACTCGAAAGCATTGGTCTTATAGATTTTCTCAACAGAGCTTATAGCAGCAGATCAATGATATAGCCACCTACCTTCACCCTGACTTCACCTGCCCTAGGTGGGGCCACCTGGATGTCCTCGATCACCATGGGCTTCTTGGCCTCCCATGCCACAGCAGCTTTACACTCAATGACCTAATTTAAGTGAAATTTGCATTAAACATAATATATATAAGAATATCAATTACCATTTAATTATCAATTGTTTGACAAATTCCTAAATATAGTCATTCATGGTATCACGATAATTATGATCCTTCAGTTTAAGAGTTTTAAGAAGTGAAGTTGTTTGAGTGATAAAGTTGATGACATTCCAGGTGTTTAGAGATGAAGGTGGATTGAAGAAATCAGAGCTCCCAAATTCCAATAAAAATAATGTTTTCTTTCTTCATACCATCCAAAATTTATTTTGACATTCAAAACAACACCACATATGAATGAATATAAGATGGAATTGATATGGAAAAAGAGGCTCCAGCCCATCATGAAATGTAAACAGGCTTGATTGTAATTACAATTATGTAGAAAACAGTAGATATGTATATAGTATTCATCTGGCAATAACTGTATACTTAGGGTGTTGTAACATGCCTGACAATATATTTGGGGAGATAATTTTAAACTCCAGCATATATGCCAATCTTCCTGTAGAGGTTGGTGGTTATTAGACTAGGAACACATTGGTGTTGGTTACAGGTTTTTGTCTCTCTGACTCTTCCAATCACTTTGAAATGTTTTACATATGAAAGCCAGTGTTCTGGTGACATGAGCAGACAACCTGGGGTGAAGATGACTGTGAGGATGTTGAGTATTTTTGGAAGACAGCTCCTAGGAATAATAGTGCCTTATCCTGGTGTACACGATGTTTGCCATGTACATTTTTTTGTAAACCTGAACGCCTATTGTGGTAGCGTAATGTCTAGTTTGCCTGTTGTTAGTATATAGTGTTGTTAGTGCAATCAATTTGAGGAAAATCACAAATTTGTATAAAACACAAACTGGCCTATTGTATGCCAATTGGGATATAGATTTATTACTAAAAATAGGCACATTCATGAAATAGCATACAACTGCAAATATGAAATTCATTTTGCATGTGGGAATGTACCGAAAACAGACACACTTTCGGTCTATGTGAACTATGATACTATAGTATAGTTACTATGGTGGCAACTGCTACATCAAGTTTCTAATTAGCCAAAACTTTTAATAATCATCATTTAGAATAAAAAATACTATTTACTTTGCCATAAATTAATGTGACTCCTAATATTTTATTGCTGTAGATGTTTAGCAGGGATGGGTATCGTCAGATTTTTTGTATCGCGATATATCGCAATACGTATCATATTTCACTGTAAGAAGAAATCCATCCATTTTCTTTAAGCGAAACAATAATGCAGATTATACAATAAAACCAAATGCAAAACAACTGTAAAATGAAGTGCTTCCAAACTTTCCCTTTCCCTTCAGGTTTTTCACTATGCTATCATCCGTGCCTATGAAGGCTGCCATTTTGTATATGTTACTAAGCACTCGACGATGGATTTATCAATACTTATCATCTCAAAAACATCATAAATTCAAAGAATTATCACAGTATTAGAGATTTACGTATAAAAATTTAATCATTTATATTCAAAATCTCCATTACTAAACAAACTTTTCACGGAAACTAACGATGATTCCTGAGAGGCTCCAAGTGAACCGATACATCTAAGTCGTACTGCGATACGTATCTTTTTAATGATGAACCTTGATATACCGGTATACTGATAATACCTAACACCCCTAATGTTTAGACAATTTCAGCTGTTTCTAGTATCCAATTCACGCCCATATAGGCATGTTATAATAGGCCAGTTAGTAAGTATGGGTATTACACCACAATATGTAGTTTTACACAACTCGATAATGTGACTGTTAAACAATTCATCAAAACAAAACCAATCTTGCGTTCATAACGACCATAACCATAACAAGACTGTTCAATTTTAACCACACACTGCAAAATAACCGATTCTGTGTTAGGTCACAAGCTCCTTGACTTAGTTATCATTTCTCAATACCACGAACTGAGAGTTGGGGTGGGGGCAAGTCTTACGGAAGTAATTAAGAAGTGAGTAACAATAAAGAAATACAAATGATATGTGGTTTTCTAAACACATACTACACTGGTTTATCAATGCAATGTGTAAGCAGAAGGCGTGTGGTTGAACATAAGCACATGTTCGAATGTCGGTCATTTTCTAGGTTGGGGTCAGTGTCCTTTTCCTACGAAAGCCTAAACTGACAACACATTCCCAACATCAGTTTAGAATGTTCAGATACAGCAATAAACGCTTAAGCTAAAACAAAATTGGTTTGCTTCATGTACATGCAAGTAATGAGCTAATACCTTTCCTGCAGTTTCCGACATTTTCTGCTTCGCTCTCGAAACCTTTGAACTCTGAAATTTGGCCGGTGCTGGCCTCGTCGTGTGGAACAAACGCTGAATTGACAAAGATTACGCTTAGATGGAACGTGTGCAAATCATAAGGTCGGTAACGTGTGCACAAGATAACACAGAATAGTCTTGCACATGTCCCTGTTGTGTAATGAAATCACACCATACCAGACAAGTAGAATCGAACACTTTCAGTTTTGTTTACTCACATTAGACGTTTACACGTGTCGGTAGTTAGGAGTCAAAGTATGAAGCTTGGCGCCGTTGTCTCGTTACGTCCTCACTGGAGAGTTCCAACAAGGAAGACAAATCCGGCAAATATTCGCTACTCTTCCTTGTCTTATGAAGGCCCCTATGATTTTGCTTTACACGCGGATGATACCACGTTCGGGGGATCAGCATCATGACATGAGTGTGGCTGACTTTTGCGTCTTGGTGTTAGGGGACCAAAGAGTGTATGCAAGTGTACACACTTCATTTCATACATGTAGGAGCTCGTGAGGTTTAGCTTGTGACAGAGTATAGTTACTAGTAAGGAACTTGCCAAGCGACAGTTCACACTATCCAGATGGGATATGAACCTTTTAAATTTTCATGTGATCACATTTATTTTCAAAAAGAATTATTATTAACTACTTAACATTAAAAGTAATATATCTTAAGTCACCAGGAATTTTCGAGTGGCTCGTTCAGGCTCATATTGAGTTTTATGTTTGTACAAATGAATGACCTTGACTCACTCTCAATTTAGATATGTCAATTGTGATGAAACATCGAAAAAGAGAAGGAAAAAACTTCTCTCCAAAATGTCGGGATTTATTACAACTGACCAGTGATAAGTTGGAATGAAGGGCTGCTAGCTTTGTTTAAGTGATTGTCATTCGCAAACTTTTACGGTCACGGAATGAAATATGTTAAAATCTGGAAAAGACTAACCAAAGATACGAAGGTAATAATATTTTGGCAGCAGCGCTCTGTTCTAAATTTCAAATTTGTTGAAATTATTTACACTCTGATTTGCTCACCGCGTCAGATGGACCAAAAATGCCCCGTGCCAGGCATATTGATGAACAATATGCCGAGGCGAAGATAAACAAATAAATTCCTTTGATAATTTTTCAAGATCTGTAGGTCAAGTGTATCACAATCTGAAAACGGTCCTTCTGAATACTGGGTCAGTAGCATGCTGAGTTGGATGGTTTTCATGTTTGTCCAACTTCATGACCTTGAACAATTCTCGAGTTACTACCGCTTAGTTTTGAAAAAAGAAGAAAAAACAAAGGCACTTGTTTCTTATTCTTGACCAGAAGCATTTTGGGACGATTGACTTTATTCAAATGGATAAATAATACTCTAAATCTGGTCGATATGACGGGTTTTCCGATTCTGGGTACACCCGTTTTATTGGTGAATTTTTCGTTTCTTGATAGCAACATATCTTTATCCCAAACGTAAGTTGTTTACATGTAGCAGATGAATCGATATTCACAAGCTTTTTTTCTATCAACACGATTTCCATACTGATACAAAAAGTCGTCAGCTGACGGACAAACTCGTAACACAAGGTTTCGAAAGATGCAGTTCCATAGTTTTATACATTGTCCTCATTTGAGAATATGACATTACTTACTTGGAATGACCCAAGATTTACATGGCGGATGTCGTTGATGAAGCACGCTTACTCTTCCGGAACACTGGTCTTATTCTTGTACATTTCCTTCATTCCTACATTTCTTCGTTTAAATTTTTTATTTTGTTCCTTTGTTGCCCTTGTCTTATCGAATTTGAGTTATCATTATGATTATGTTAACATGTAGGTATTTTCTTGTTGGAATAATTATTATATGAGTTACTTCCCCTAGTCCATAGTACAATAAGACCCAGTGCGTTTTACAATAATGACAGTACCGTCCACTAGTTTAATTCTATGTGTAGTATTCTAACGACGACGACGTTTCGCTTGCTTCAGACAAGTCATGGTGTTACAGGTGCAGACTAGTTCTATCTTCCTCTGTGTAATTCAGACACATATGTGTATACTGGCTCGTTTTGTTCGTTGTGCCAGCAGACTTTGGAACATATGTAACGCCAGCATACTTTGGAACATATGTAAATCTAATGAATTTGTTTATGCATACAGTGTGTTTGCGATGAAAATAGCATACCAGCACGTTACTCTGTGGAAAGATGTTTTAGTGTTTACCAGAATATAGCGGAGCGGGATTTAAAATATATACTTCAAATGCATTAATTTTGGAGGTAAATAATCATTTTCGTTGGCAAATGAAATCTGTTTAACTTAACCAAAATTAATAGTTTTTGTTTAATCTAGCTAAAATTAATAATTGGCTTGTATTAAAATTATTGATGAACTCTTATATCTAAATAATGTTTTCTACCCAGAGCACAATAATTTAAAGTTCTCTCTCTCTCTCTCTCTCTCTCTCTCTCTCTCTCTCTCTCTCTCTCTCTCTCTCTCTCTCTCTCTCTTTCTTTTTCTGTGTATGTGTTCGACTTTATAATGTAATTATTCTAAAAAACATATAGCGAATATAGAGACTGTGATATAAAAACGGAGACCAGCTGTAAAACTAAATAAAATTTAGATTAGAATTTAGATTTAGATTAGATTTCAAAGGTTTTCTGAATCATTATTTTACCAAAAGATACAAAAACAAAAAACAAAAAAAAAAACAAAAAAAAAAACGCAACGCAAGAACACAAAACATGTCCATTATCGTCTGAAATTCCAATACCCCGTTATCCAAACAACGATTTATGACTTTTTCTTTCCCTGATTCTTCTCTCTTTTTTCCAAAAATAAATCGTTGTAATGAAAGTAAATAAAATGTCAAGATAAACTTACATTTTGCAGAAAGTGTAATCATTTGCATTAAGTGGTATTTCAGGGTGTTTGGTTAACGTAGCGAGTCTGGCAGGTGACCAGAGAAGATTAACAGACTAAATCTATCACAACACTAGAACCTGTCTATAAGACATGCAACTGCAAGCCAGAATCCAGGTAGACCTTAATACCATTTGGAATAAAAACGATTCGTACTGGTACAGGACACGATGTGTGGGGTCGGACGGATATGTGCAATACTTCATGTCGCCCCGTTCTTCCACTCTCCTCGAAAAACAAATACATCAGAATAAAAAAGAGACAAATACAAAGATCATAACTAGGTTTTTATTGATTACCTGGAACACGTTAGCCATCATAAACGTATGCGTTTTTCATTTAAAGTTCAATTTGCACTTGACGTTTACAATCTCTGCGTTTCTTGTCTTTTCTTGACCTTTCTTTAGCATTGACCTTCACCTTGGCGCCGACTCTGGCCTCTAATTTGAGTCTTTCTTGTCGGTCTTGGTCCTGTTGTAGAGCCAACACCAGTTCCAGCTTCCGGCGAACGACTTTCATGTTTTCCAGTGTGATAAATTTGATGTTGCCGATGGCGGCGTCTGCCTCGTTTTGCTTCCTAGGGGTCAGGGTTGGAACATTGTTTGACCTTTTGGTATAATGTGGTAAACCATCTACGTTGTTGACGTCTACAATTGTTTTATCGTCCAGTTTGACTCGCCATACGACTGGTTTAGACTTTGGAGTTTCAGTACATTTTGGTGACGGGACAGTTTTCTTAACCACACGAAATTTACTATAGAGGGCGCGCTTATCCACATCAGATGTTCTGGTAGCTTTGCTACTGCTTGATGTAGCCTCGTTTTCACCGGAAAATTTACGTTTGCGTGAAGCGCCATCTGTGGTCCAATTTGTTTCGGTTGCAATGTTATCATTCTGTAAAACAAGAGTATCAGGCCCTGAATTTAGTATGAACAAAGTATACACAAAGTTTCTTTTTCCTAGTTCAAAGGAAGGCAAAGTTATGTCCTGTTCACGAAAGTTTTAACAAAGGGAAACAACTCTGTAATCAAGGGGTTGCGGGCTCAAATACGGTACATTTCCAATTGTTTTAGTATAACAAAGTTCCACTATCCTATTTTAAATGCATTCCAAGTTATAATATGGATAAGAAAATTTTAACAAGGAGAAAAAAAAAACTCTGTAAATAAGGTGTTGCGGACTTGAACATTGATTAACAGCACGTTTTTCAAATTACCAATATATACACCAGGTTTAATTGTCCAAATTTAAATGAAAGCAAAGTTATGATCCGGACACGGAATTTTAACAAAGGCACAGCACATTGTCATAGCATGAACATCGTATACACCAATTTTATGCTCCTTGCATAACTGTGTGCAATGTTAGGACGGCTAGAAAGTGGACGGACGGACAAAACCGCAAATATATACATCATTTATATATTTTCTGATAACACAACAACAAAGTAATTCAAACATCTTAAACTGGATAAAATCAAGTCAATTTAAGACACCCACTGTCAGTTGATTTTGTAAATGAGATGCTTTCTGTGGATTAAGCGATATAGTTAGTGCTATACATGCATCAAGCAATTCTATGGACCATCACAGAGAACACAGATTTCAGTAATTGCCTTACCTGTGACTGTAGCTGGTAGCATGCCCCTGCGTAATTACGGTCGTCCAATGATGCCAATCCCCTGAGTGAAATGTTACATTGACCATTGTCGCAATATATATTCTCGTGTTCTTTTGCTGTGTTTTCACTTCTTTTCCCACTTTTGTTGTTCATCCATTTTGTTTTGCAGATATGCTGCGTATCTGCTGTTTCATTCCTGAAGTTATTGGTGCTTTTGGTCCATGCAGTGGCATCACTATGGTTTATGGTATTCTTTGCCAATGTCTTGTCAACAAAATGATCCGTATTATTCACTATTGTCGAGGTTGGCCTCTTGTACAATCCATTATTTTGGCTGTTGATGTTGTTTACGTCAAACAAATCTTGGTACGACGAACCAGTCTGGTTCCAGTAGTACCTGCTGGTGTCGGTCTCGTTTGTACCGTAGAACCAGGGGTATGCTGTTCTCTCTCCGAGGTCAAGGTCATTGACAGGAGATTTTCTGTATCCGTTATATGGCCTACCATCACATCCGCT